GAGAAGAGTAGAGAAACAGCCCGGAGAGCTTTTGAAATTGACTTCGATTGTTAGCAGTTCAAACTGCCCAGTAGTTCATAAGGCAGGTGTTTGCAAGTTGGTTTTAAACCAACAGTGAAGCCGCGAAAAAGTGTTTGTAGGCAACTTCAGCCGAAACGGACTGTGACTTGGTGAAATTAAACATTAAACTAAACCCTTATTATAGTGGAAGTAAAATATACGTGAAAGGGCTGTTGTGGCACTCAGGCATAGTAAATCCGAGTCGCGCTCCCCTTCTGTATGAAAACCCAGCGACACGAGGTCCAGGTTTGTGGCATGCGCAGACGGGCTCCTGCAGTTCCATCAGCCACTTACTATCAATGTCAGCATCAGTTCGTTGACCGGCTCAGACAAATGACTGAGGAACGGATAGAAGTGAGAGAGTTCGACCACGGAGACTGTACCCCCAATGTACTCAGTACACCTTCGACGCTAAAGCGCTCTGATGGGTTTTTAAACTCCCACGGTGCACTAAAAGTCGTGGCTTGGTAGGCTGCCAGCTTACGAGATAACGCAGTCCTCTCAGGATGGAGAGTCAGGCTGCAATGGTGTCCTCTGAATGTTAACTCTATGACATTTCCACTCAGGTGCGACCCGAGCTGTTCCTTTTTGCTTAAGTGAAAACATTGTACCGTTTGCAAGGAGCAGGTCATGCCTGGTGCGCGCAGATTGGTTGGTCAAATTTGTCTGCGATTGCATCTGATCCCACCTCCAGTCTGTCTGTGTTTACACCGAAATCAGATGGGTGAGCGGGGGAGACAGCAGGGTAGACGCGGCAAAAGTCTTGTATCAATAAAAACGAATTCACGTGCAAGTCTCCATTCTTGCGCCTATCATGCCGTGGGACACATGGTGGACATCAGCGTTCACGATGGTCGAACTATTGTTATATGATTAATTTTGAGCTGACGCAGGTTAATGTCTCCTATTCTTTAAAAATACTATTCGCTAATACTTTGCATAGGGTGACTTTGGCGCTTATGATGCACCGGCTTTGTTAAAGGTGTACTAGGCATTCATACCCCACAAGGACAAACCAATATAAAAGGATTGGAGGTCTTAATAGGATATTTCACATGGAGAGTCCATTGTTTGATAGGAAAATCACTGACCTTCGGAGTAGATTATAACTGGACCCCGAGAAATTGCGCAGCGAAGAATCCAAGGCAAGCCCATGCAGACTAGAATGTCGAAAATGTTACTTCCGACGGCGTTCGCGACTGCCATATCGCCTTCGCCTATTGAAGAAAAGAAAAGAAAAAAACCAGAAATCCCCAGTCATATGGCGAAGCGAATGGAGGGGTGGATTCCGGACTGCTGGTACTGACTCATCGATCAGAGACTCTTGACAAGTGAAGCGCATATACTCCCTGCCTAAAGACATTGGAACGCTTGGGTAAGTTAGCGTGCAGCGTGACTGATTGCTGGAGTTGTGAAGCGGAAACATGGACAAAAAATAGATCGTCTTCCTCTGGGCCAAGAAAGAGAGGCAGGGGAACAGGCAACACTGAACTCGATACCCCATTCCAATCATCTGACTTGCAGACCGCACGATGAACCGCGCCACTCTGCCACACGGTCTTGTCTGTGAAGCACTTGCGGGAATAAACAATTACCGCGCCACCTGGCCATACGCGTTAATTAGCGACGGTTTCTGCCCCAACTGGTATTTGGTGATCAACCAATCGGGACATTCAAGCTAGAGAACTTCCTGGTTCTTCAGTACGGCATGACAGAAAAAAGGGGCTAGGATGCTGATGTCATTAAAGTGATTGGCGCAGTAAAGGTGCTCCCTCTGCTATTGCTACCCGCCCTCCATTTTATATAAGAACTGGCAGATAATAAAAGCACAGATGGGCTGCGCTTTATTTTCTCCTTGATGCAAAAAGCTAATAAAATTGACCTTAAGCCGACAAAGAACCCAAACTGTGATGGCTGGCAGTCTTGCAATGCTTACAAGGAGCCAAATTTCATACATGCCCAAATACAGTAGGGAGTCAGGCAAAAAGAAATACGAGCGTTTCATTTCCTCAGAATATAGCGCGTAAACATGGAGTTTGGTCCACGGAAGACATATTTCCGGGGTCTTCCTAAAAGCTCATGTAAATGAGCCAAACAGGTTCAATTAGTCTGAGTGAAATAACCAAGTAATATCCATAAGCTGGTGGTAGGCAGTCCGTATCATATATCATACACACAGAGGTTGATTTGCCCTTATTCCGCTCTTCCTATTAACAAGCAGTAAAGATTTTTTAAAATAGGTCTTAGCGAAGGCAATCCATATCTCTTCGAGAGACCTCTGCAAAGATCATTTATTCCGAAACCCATACAATTTTGAAGAAGCCCGGACATTTTAGACTTAGTATGAAAAAAGAATCTGAAAAACGACATGACCAGACCCCCACAGCGAGAAATAAACATTAATTCTTGACGATATACTCAACTGGGCAATATAACGTATGCCCAACATGAATGTGTTCCATTGTCAGTTTTTCACTGACAATGATCAGGGTCCAATGGCTGAAACGATTATGTATAAGTTTTAGTTGACGGACAAGCCTACTTAATGTTTTAACCCTTACATCAAAGACCAAAGTCCAACCAAAAAGGATAAAACTAAAAAGGAGGAAAGAGTAAGACACGGAAATACAGAGCCTCTCCGAGTTATAAAAGTGAACTTGAGTGAAATCCCAGAAGACGTAGATATTCCCATAGCTTAACCAAAACACTAACCTAAGTCCAAAGTTCACTGCTAAAACTAACCTTAACTCAGACTTCAATCTTAACTGTGACATTATTTTAAGGTCCTCGGAATAGTGGGAGGGAGGCTTCTTATTAAGTGGTTTGTCAAAAACAGAATTTTTTCAAATGGTATAAAGCCAATCCAATATGGATACAGCCAGGCAGAAGTTAATTGACACAGACTGCTGCAGTATTTCAAAAAGAAGAAAATTGAGGGGCGTGGGGGGGAAAGGTAGGCACGAATTACTGTTGTCTGAGATTTCGGGATTCGACCCTCTGGTGACGCAATTATCTCAAAGCAGGCAATCCAACTTGCAAAGTGCGCAGTAGGCTGCCTGAAATGTGAGGAGGGCTCCTTGAAATATATAACAAAGACATCCATAAGTCACAGGGACAAGAGTACAGTATGGCGAGTGCTGCAAGCGAAATACCGCCATTTTGCAAAAGACTGGTAATCACTCGCAAACTAACATTAAGTAGGGTTGCAGGACTGATAATCGTGCAGTGTAATCTCAAGTATTTTCTGTCACGTCAAGATGCCAGCTTTTTACTGACTTTCTTTCTGGTCACTTATAAAAGTTGCTACTTATTTAGTAAGCATTTGTATCAAGGATTTTGACTGCCTGTATGAATTCAAATATATTTTACAATAAACATGCACGAAAATATCCTTTCTTGTACTCGCTTGGTAACCAATTACGTCTTCTTGAAATTTTATACCCAGAAAAACTTTCTTTCCGTTTTTAACAAAGTGTTTAAATTTCCGAATAATTTTGAAGTTTACCGACTGTTACACCTGAATTCAAGGTTTCAAAACAGCATGCTGTGTACATTCTGTTTAAGGAAAAAACGTTTTTGCCTACATTTTGATAAAGAGGTCTCATAGATCTCATAAAATAATTGCAATAGACGTGGATCATGCTGTAAACATTATAGGCGGCGTTAATAAATTGACGTATACAATGTTTTATGAAAAAAAAACACCTCACAGTCGTAAAAATCTCATAATTAGAAATTCTTCTAAGGGCAAAGGATACCCATTCCTTGGGGTATAACATTTAAAGAAGGCGTAATTTTCTACCAACAGAGTACAAGAAAAAGATTTCTTGCATGCTTTCTATAAAATATATTGTAATTTATAAAGGCAATCAAAATCCACGGTAAAAAATGCATGCTGGTTAAGTAGCCATTTTTACAGAATTTTCTTTTTGTAAGCGGTCAGACAGAATCTCATAAATGAGTTGGCATCTTGGCGTGACCGAAATGACTTGACATTAGACTGCACGATACTCATTATTGCAACCCTACCCAATGTTAGTTTGCGAGTAATTACCAATTATTCGCAAATTGAGGCATTTTGCTTGCAGTACTCACCATACTGTCATGTTGCATTTTTAGCATCGCCGCGAATAGGCAATGCCAGTCCGATAGTAAATGCAACTCATACTTAACATACATGATTTGAGAGCCAGAGCCTGCAGCCCCGACCTACACCCGGCTCTCCTCGCTGTGATGTTTCAGGACATTTGGTCATCGCTTGAACCTTTTAGGTCTTATGCGCGTCCACGAAACTGTTTAGGCGAATAACACGCTCCACATCCTATAGGGCGCATGTAGGCCTACTCAGTCATGAGAATTATCGACAGCATGTGCGTAACACGAGACAGACGGTGACATTACGTCGGATCAGCCAATCACATTTCCGGGCAGTCTGGACGCGAAAGGCGATTGGTGTACGAAAAAGGGGAAGGAGTGTGATATGTGTACCGGAGACCCTATCCACACGACAAATTTACACACTCGTCAACATAATAAAATTGACATGTTTCAATTTATTACAACGCGCTAGCAGTGGAAGTTTGATAGATTAGCAACTGTCAGGAAACGCGATCTTGCTGAGGACTAAGAGCCAGGCTGTATTGACTTTTTGTAGAAGACATTTACGGCCTTCTCGCCAAAGTGACACCCAAGACCGCTTCTAGACGAAGCCTAGTACGTGCGTAGTGAGGACCAGACTGTAGATGGCACGGGCAAACGGGCTGTTTAATTTTCTTAACCACTGCTATCGCGCCAACCTCCGCTTGAGAATCAAGATGAGTGTGGGAGTAGAGAGCAGCTCATGTTTGAAAGACATACACACACTTATCTATCTACAGGCATTGAGACGTAAAAACAAGGCGAAACGCATGTAAAATAGGCTTTTGCTAGGCTCCAGGACGTTTTAGGATACGAAAGTATGTGTATTAGGTTTTTACCAGGATTTTTTATGGTCGTAAAATAGCGTTAAATAACGACCTACGAACAGTTTGAGTTAAGAACGGCCGTTCGAAAGATAACTCGTTCGTAATTCGAAGAGTGTAAATAAGATATGTTGCGCTCATCCCACGGGGATTAGTGGTGAAACGTGTCGTCCGTGACGTTCGAACTATCACCCTTCTAGTTATATTTCCAAGAAATCCTCCAGAGAAACTTAGTTCTGAATACTATTTTTTTGGGACATCATGTTGGCCCTAAAATATTAATTTGAAAATTGGACAATTCTCGATTTTGGGGTTTGGTAAGTGGGTTATAATTTCAAACATTGGTAAGATTGCTCTTGTAACCAAGTATTCATTCAGTGAGTATAGCTGCATTTTAATTGTGTGAAGTGTTCTATAGCGATGTCAACAGCCAATAAACAGCAATAGGGCATGCCGAAAGGATAGAAAGCTATTTATATCTCACTCTTTTAGAGAGCGCATAGAGTACGCTTCCTGAACATAGCGAACGCACGATAAGATGGGGTTTTTTTATTCCGAAACGGTGGAATAAAAGGAATACTTATTCATCGTGCATGGAAAAGGATGACAAACGGAAAATGTACAGCCCACAGCAGATTTCTCCAATTGTGATTTAGGTGGCTTGCTGGAAAAATGCACCAATGGAAGGATGCGTTAGCATGCGATAACATTATGCTAAAAAGAACTGTATTTAACGTTTCTTGAATTTGAAGGCAGTTTAAAATTTAACCGGTTTCGAATTCTTCCATAGTCACTCTCACAGCGTCTGCAAGAAATTCACTGAAACCTAAATTACTTTTCCTGCCTAGCGAATGGGTTAGTTGTGCGCGTCACTTGAGTGTAAAGGTAGGAATCAGTTCTGTTTACTGTGCTTAATACGGGGCAGAATATCGACCTAGGGTTTTAGAGCTAACTTAAATTGACCCGATGCGCGTCTAGTCCACTTTCGCACCATTAGAGGGCAGAAACACGTCCAGATCTCATCGAATTGTTAACAAGATAAGCAATACAGACTTCGATTTATTTTCTTCTACTATATGTATACGAGTTGTCCTCAAGAAAATCTTTAAAATTTGCTTAACCCTGCCATCAAATCCTATATTGGGTTGTTTGAAAAAGTAGATGTCGACCCCAACTACCGATGTCTTAAGAATTTGTTTTGGTTCTGAGTTCACCAAAACAGATCCCTGGAGTACCGAACTCAGAGGGTTGAGTAG